TAAAATCAGAGTATTTGGATTTATAATTGATTGCGAGAAACAAGTATTTGATCGGAACCAGTTGGTTGGCCTGTAGGACAGACCAGAGGGCTTCTGGTTGTATGAGAAATCTTTTCAGGAATGTGCTCGGAACCAGAGGGGCTTTGGTAGGTCTTTATAATAGACTAGAGGGATTCTGGTTAGGCGAGAAATCTTTTAAGTATTTTCGGGAATATTGTGGTCCAGAGGCTCTGTATCGTAAAGTTGATCATGCGTTAGTCTTTCAAGTGTTTTCAAGATTTACATGATCTAGAGGCTCTGTATGTATTATACAGAGGTTCTGTATCATGAAAGTTGTATTTTTAAACTTTTATATCTAAGCTATGTATTTAAGTATGGTGTCTGATCGCTATGTGTCCAAGAGTGGAGTCAAAGCTCTGTATTTGAGTATGGTGTCTGAGCTCTATCTTTTGAAACTTAACTTATTATATTTTCTTTTAAGTCTTAACCTTTTAAATATCTCTTTATAAATAAAACATATAACCAGAGGAGCTCTGGTTATATTTTAGTAATCCTTTTAAATATTCTATTATGGTCTATTTTGACCAGAGACTCTAATTACTCAAAGGCTCTCTAGTTAAATGGAAGCCTTAGTTATTTTCGGGAGTATGAGTATAGAAGCTCTGGTTGGTCGGAGCAGAAGCTCTGGTCAACTAGAGGATGGTGTCATGAGGAGTTGTTTAAATAAAACTATCCTCTAGAGATAGAGGAGCTCTGGTCTTTAGCAACCAGAGGGACGCTGGTCCTTAATGTTAAAAGGGAGGTTGGAAAATAATTTTATGGGATCTGCAAGATTGGTGGCTTAGCATCATTTCCCCATTAATTTAGGAGAGCAAATATCCAGTTTCCATTTCTCTCCAATTGACAACCATTCATAGTTGTTTTTCATATTTAGATCATTATAATTTTGTATTTATAGTGGTTGTCTTCTTCTTCTTTGTAATAACATTTACACAGAATCCTACAAATGTTCCCCAACCAATCACCTCTTGTTAACATGGTATCAGAGCAGGTTTGCTCATCATATACCGTTTAACTTCTTTTATTCTCCCAACCGAGTCACCATGTCTGAAAACGTCTCTGGTTCTGATTTATCCTTACAACTCATAAACTTGTTAAAAAATGGCCTTAATCCCCAGCCTCAAAACCCAAAACTTTCCGATAACCTCCAAATCAATCTCAAACTCAACAACCAAAACTATGCTCTATGGACCCGAATGATCCGAGTTGCCATAGACAGAAAATCCAAGACCCTGTTATCATACCTGACCTTGGATCCTCCGAATCAAAACAGTGAAGAATATGAGCAATGGGAACAAGAAGATTTAATTGTTTTTTCGTGGCTCATTCAAAATATCGAACCCATACTCGCAGGCAACGTAACCGAGTTTCCCACCGCAAAAACGTTGTGGGATGCTCTGGCGATTACTTACAACAGTGGAAGAGACAAATTGCAGACTTTCAACCTTCATGCCAAGGATAACAACTTCAAACAAAATGACAACTCTYTTGAAGAGTTCTGGATCACACTACARGGAGTATGGGGAGAAATTGACAGAATCGATCCAAATCCCATGAAATGTCCAGAAGACATCAAGACATACTCAAAACTCAGGTCAGAAAAAAAACTTTTTCAGTTTCTAAACGCACTTGACCGGAGATATGAATCCATTAAAAGGGAAATACTCCGGTTAGAACCTCTCCCTTCTGCGGAGGCAACATACGCCGCTGTTTGTAAAGAAACCGTTCACCAGAATATTTTAGGAGTAACTAGTAAAGACACAAAGGGCATAGCGGTGGGTTTTGTTGCTACCAACAGAAGGATTAGGGCTCATCACAAAGGGGCACCGTTGGGCTGGAGGAAAAAAAGATGGACAGTCGGGCAAAGAAGATAGAACACACTTGAAATGTGACCACTATGGTATGACGAGACACACCAAAGAACAATATTTCCGGCTCGTTGGCTATCCTAATTGGTGGGCCGATAGCCACAAAAAAGGCACCAAGAATCTCGAACCGGAAAGAGACAAAGCTCCGCTGCTGACACAAGTACTGATCGAAAAAAACCTTCCGGATTTGGTGGAGTGGCGGCGGCAACCCCTGATGAAGAAGAAGATGACTCCTTTTCCATGAGTACAGGTACAGGGGGTGAGAGAAATGGTGTCTCGAAACCCCCAATTTATATCAAAATACCTACTAGTGGGGTAGCAAATATTTTTCAAAATTATAGTAAAAGATGGGAACAGTCGTGGATATTTGATTGYGGAGCCACAAACACCATGACTTATGATTTATCGAATTTTGCCATGTCAACTAAACCTTCAAAATCCTACATACAAACGGAAATGGAGAGAAAATGGATGTAAAAAATGGGGGAACCATCGAAATTTCTCCGACACTAAAGCTCTCTAATTGCCTCTATGTTCCCGCTCTATCACATAAACTTCTTTCAATAAGTCATGTAACAAAGAAATTGAATTACTCAGTTCTCATGCAACCCACTTTTGGTATCTTACTAGATATCAGGACGGGAGCGATCATTGGGTGTGGCACTGAGAGACAAGGGTTGTATTATGTGGATGAAGTGACTCAAAAGGGGACCGTAATGCTCTCTCATGGAACAAGAGAACGAGAAGGCTACGACACAGGAGGCTGGAGCATCCATCCACTGGTTATTTGCATGTTTTATTTCCTAAATTGTTTCCTTCCAATTGCAAGTCACATTGTGAAACTTGTGTGTTAGCAAAGAGTCACCGAAAAAATTTCAAACCAAATAATACAAGGGTCGATTTACCTTTTTCATTGATTCATTCGGATGTGTGGGGCCCCGCTCCAATCATTGGGGACAAAACTTTTGTTTTTTTGTTATCTTCGTGGATGATTGCACTCGTATGACCTGGGTTTATTTATTAAAAAATAAATCTGAAGTCCTTGATAAATTTATCATCTTCTACACCATGGTCCAAACCCAATTTCAGAAAAACTTTCAGGTTTTTCGATCCGACAATGGAGGAGAATTTGTTAAGTCTAATATGAAACTCTTCTTTCAAACTAWGGGAATAGTTCATCAAACCACTTGCCCTCATACTCCAGAACAAAATGGAGTCGCAGAACGGAAAAATCGCATCCTATTAGAAATCACTCGGGCTTTTCTAATAGAATCACAAGTTCCAAAGTTTTTTTTGGCCAGAAGCTCTTGTTACGGCCGCATATCTTATCAACCGACTTCCCACTCAAATTCTAAAATCTAAAATCCCTTTGCAAATTCTCACAAATTTTACCAAACCTCCATCCGTTCTTACTCTTGAACCACGAATCTTTGGGTGCACTGTATTCGTTCACATACCTAAAGCCCATAGATCCAAAATCGACCCGTGTGCTGAGAAATGTGTCTTTGTTGGGTATGGAATCACTCAAAAGGGATACCGATGTTATAATCCAAAAACCCAACACATGTTCACTACTATGAACTGTGACTTTCTTGAAACTGAGTACTACTATGCGTCCTAAAACAGTGGTCAGGGGGAGAGAGAATATATTGACACCGACACACTGAGTTGGTTGACATATGTAACATATGAAGAAGGAAGGAGCCACAGTCCACAAAATGAGTCTCCTTTATCCACACAACCCGAAGACCCAAACGTCAGTGCCACCGAGGAAACTGCTCCTAACCTGATACCCAAGGTAAGTAATACTCACTCTTCTTTTATACCCGAACCCATTTATAACACAACAGGGCAAGGTGAGAGTGTACATGAACAAGAAAGGTTCACCATTCAAGAAGATGTAGCAGCAGGGCAAAGTGAACATATGGAAGAGCAAGAGAACTTGGATTTTCCACTGAGTTGGTTGAAGGAAGGAGCCACAGTCCACAAAATGAGTCTCCTTTATCCACACAACCTGAAGACCCAAACGTCAGTGCCACCCAAGAAACTACTCCTAACCTGATACCCGAGGTAAGTAATGCTCACTCTTCTTTTATACCTGAACCCATTAATAACACAACAGGGCAAGGTGAGAGTGTACATGAACAAGAAAGGTTCACCACTCAAAAAGATGTAGCAGCAGGGCAAAGTGAACATATGGAAGAGCAAGAGAACTTTGAGAATTTTCCCACACAAGAAGACACATCGGGAAGATATGTACTACCACCAAGAGCAAATCGGGGAGTTCCACCGAAAAGGTATTCCCCAGAAAAGGAGTCCAGAGGAAGGAGATAYCCAATGGCTAACATAGCCAAAGGAAATCTATCGGAGAAAGCCAAGGTGTTTGCCTCATTTCTGTATTCTAAGGAAATCCCTGCTAATACAGAACAAGCCTTAAAATCAAAGCAATGGAAAGATGCAATGGAAGAAGAAATGAGAGCTCTTACAAAAAACAACACATGGGAAAAACGTGTCTTGCCTCCAAGAAAGAGAATTGTCAGGTGTTGGTGGGTTTTTACAATTAAATACAAACAAGATAGTACAATTGAAAGATACAAAGCAAGATTGGTAGCTAAAGGCTATACACAAACATACAGAATTGATTACTCTGAAACTTTTTCTCTGGTTGCAAAAATGAATACAATCAGGGTTCACATTTCTGTAGCAGCAAATAAAGGATGGCCCTTACATCAGTTTGATGTAAAGAATGCTTTCTTACACAGAGAACTAAAGGAGGAAGTTTATATGGAAGCTCCACATGGATTCACGGACCAGTTTGGAAAAAAAGAAGTGTGCCTCCTGAAAAAATCTCTCTATGGGTTAAAACATTCCCCTAGAGCATGGTTTGGGAAGTTCACCTTAGCCATGAAAAACTACGGGTTTAAACAAAGTAATTCAGATCATACTTTGTTTCGTAAATGAAGAGGCAATCTCATAACCTGCCTAATAATCTATGTCGATGATATGATTATTACATGAGATGACAGAGAAGAAATAATCAAACTGAGGAAGAACTTGTTCACAGAATTTGAAATGAAAGATCTAGGGAGACTCAAATATTTCATTGGGATTGAAATTCTAAGATCAGAACAGGGGATTTTCATGGACCAAAAGAAGTATGTCCTCGATTTACTAGCCGGAACCGGTATGGTTGATTGCAAACCAGCAGACACTCTGATGATTGTGAATCAAAAACTTTATATGGAGGAAAAAGCAGACCTTGCCGACAAAGGAATATACCAACAAATGGTAGGAAAATTGATATATCTCTCACACACCCGACCCGATATAGCATATGCTATAGGAGTGGTAAGTCAGTTTATGCATCAACCCCAAAAGGCTCACATGGAAGCAGTCTTAAGAATTATAAGATATATAAAGGGCACGGCAGGGCATGGAGTCTTGTTCAAACCAAACGGGCATCTTGAAACTCAACTGTATACCGATGCAGATTGGGCAGGGGATAAAGGCAACCGAAGATCCATCGCAGGATACTTTACCTTAGTTGGTGGAAATCTAGTTACGTGGAGAAGCAAGAAACAAAAGGTGGTGGCCCTTTCAAGTGTACAAGCTGAGTTCCGGGGAATTGCAAGGGGGATAACTGAAGTGCTATGAGTACGAAGGCTCCTAACCGAGATAGGATATCCACCACAAGAAACTAGCAAAATTATGAGTGATAATGAGGCAGCCATTCAAATTTCAGAAAATCCAGTACAACATGATCGAACAAAGCATATAAAAGTTGATCGACACTTCATCAAAGAAAAATTGGAAGCAGAGATCATCACACTTCCGTTTGTTCGATCAAAAGACCAACTTACCGATATGTTGACAAAAGCTGTTAATAAAAGAACCTTGCACGAGTGTCTGGGCAAGTTGAATTTTGGAAATCCTACTATTCAACTTGAGGGGGAGTGTTAAAAGGAAGGTTGGAAAATAATTTTGTGGGATCTGCAAGATTGGTGGCTTAGCATCATTTCCCCATTAATTTAGGAGAGCAAATATCCAGTTTCCATTTCTCTCCAATTGACAACCATTCATAGTTGTTTTCCATATTTAGATCATTGTAAATTTGTATTTATAGTGGCTGTCTTCTTCTTCTTTGTAAYAACTTTTACACAGAATACTACAAATGTTCCCCAACCAATCACCTCTTGTTAACACTTAAGAGTCGGGGAGCTCTGACCAGTTGAGCTAGAGGAGTTTTTCATCTCTGTATTTTATAATTAATGCAGATTTCGGGGAGTGTATAAATTTGTATATGTGAATAGATGATTTTAAAGTTTTGATGATCTTCACCCTGTAATTCCAAAGAAAGGGTTATCTCACTATACCTTCCGGTCTAAACCTTATTTTGTGTTTTAAATATGCATTGCAGACCAACAGGGTTACGGGATGTTAAGGGGAAGGAGAAAATATGATTATTTTCCTTATATGCTTATCTGCTATGTTTTGAAGATCATTATGTTTATTTTGAAGATACATGTAGACATACATGTGATAGTACAAGGTTATTATTTTGGAATTTTTTAGTTATAGATTCTGTATATATAGAAACCTTATACTAATGGGACCAATGTGGTGTAATTTGTATTTTCTTTTATATGAAATATATGTTATATGCAAATGTGGAGTATGGGGTGTCACAGCCGGATACTAGTCATTTGCCACATGATGTAATTTTTAGTGAATGAGTGTAACTGGGATCATTAGGGACCTTGAACAATGAATAGCAAACAATGGATCACATTGGGGCCATTGGGTATGAAGTGTTTTCCATTATTTATAGTTTGAGTATTGAACCTTGTTTATGTTTTGGGTATTTAATTTCATTCACTTTTGGGTAAGTATTGGACTTTGGTTCTATGAATAAAGGGACGTTTTAATAAATGAGTTCTCATCATGATATATAATTGTGGGTTTTGGAAAGGATGTGTTTTCATACTAAATATATTTCATTTTGGAAATTATGATTTAAATAACATCTTTTAAGTTTTACCATTTTTATATTTAAGATGAAAACTGTTTGAACTCACTAGGAGTTAAGCCTAACATTTTCTTTTGTCGGCATGTGCATCAGGTCATCATGTTGGTGTGATTAGTGCTAGCTAAAGGCTCGAGAAGTAATTAGCGAATTAGAGACGTCTTCCACATTTGGAGATAACGACTTTATTGGTGTTTTAGTAGCACTCGACATTAACTTAGTCTTTATGCAAGACTTGGTTTACCAACTGTTGATGTTGAATTTTAGTTTTATTATTCAAGGTAATTCAAGTATTTGATTATAGAAAGATATTTATTCTTTATTTTATGTATTATTATGAATTTTAAATTAGTCGCTTTTTTCTGAATTTGAGGATGTTAATGGTAAAGTGGATATAGCCTTTTTAAATTTTAATGCTAGTATTTTTATTTTAATGATATTATATATTTATATATAAAAATTAATATATATATATATACACACACACATACACACATATTAGGCCGTATTTCATTTCTTTAACCATTATTCAAAAACTCATTATAAATTACACAACTAATTGGTGCCACATATCTCATCCCAACCGCACTTCATCTCCTTTATTCGACCATCACACACACAAAAGCAATCCAAATCCAAATTTTAATCTCCAAAAATTATAAACCCTCTACATATTTAAATACATTGTTGAACATCCATAAACGAAATAATGCTTTATGGTGTCATGCCCCAAATTTTTTTTCTTTCGAGTGTCGTGACATCATTCTTAATAACTTATGCCATGAACAAAATATGAACTTAAAAATTTCAAACATACATAAGGTGTTTAACATAATTCATTACATAATTGCGGAGGCGTAAAATACTTTAACGTAATCAATGYTAATTAAAATATCTAATCAAACGTGATTCAAAACATAGTCCCATGATCCCATCTTTCTTTATTCAAACCGTCTAGTGACAATCGGCACCTAAGATATATACATGTATAGTATAAACTAAAAGTTTAGTGAATACAATATGGTTTCGTAATGACATGCACACATAATATTGGTTTAGCGTATTTTAATTATTATCTTGCAAGTGTGGCCTTGACTCATCACTTTTCTTTGCATATGTGGCGTGTTCTATGAATTACAAACCCTCCTTTCATGTCCAACCCACCTCGTATAGTAGGTGAACCTTGTCGAATCATACTAGCTGCATACCATTTATTTGCAACTATTTATTTATGCAAATCTCATCGTGGCATGCAATATATATCTCGTGCAAGTGACAACATAAATATTATATGCATCATCATCATATTATACATACACTTGACTTTCATATTGATAATACCAAGTCATCATAATCAACATATTTCATATCATGCATATACTTGGATATCGTGTACATCAATTTAATAAAGTCACCACCATATGCATATAACCACATCATGCAAATATCATGGATAAAATATTTTGTAATAATCATGTATATATCCCATAAAAATCACATAGTGTACTCACCCTGAATCGTTAACATTCGATAGGTCGTTTTCTCAACAATCCCAACCTACATGATAATTTATATAATTCCTAAGCACCTTAAATAATTGTAATTAAATTGATCACTATTCCATAACAATCTTAACACGATTAGTCCTAACAATTTTTTGTTGATCAACCCCCGATGCCATCACATCTCATATTTTGCTCAAATATTTTCTTCAAATATTATTAATAATGACGTCGTTATAATATTAATTAATGCTCGTATAATTTATAAAAACGTGCAATATACTTGATAAGTGTGCAAATGCATACATTTTAACACCTAATTATGACTTTATTTCACTTCATTTTACACCTTTTCCAATCCTATATTGAGTCTTTTAGTCTTATTTTATAGTTTGACATTCAATGGAGCTTGGATGCAGGGATGATACTGTTTTATGTATCTGGGGAATGAAATGCTGACATAAGCATTGTTGTAGTAGGAATTCTGAATGATCAAGGATTGGATGGAAGTCTTGGTGGGATGAACATCAACAAAGTCCCAATCTCAAGTACATTTGTTGTACATGATGTGTTTGTCACATCCTTAGGCTAACCTACACCAGTTGTAGGATTGCAAACAGGATCATATGTCGATCTTTGTTTCCTAACTACAATTGTCACACACACAGAGTTTAACAACTTTAGTGACTTTTGTAAGAGTGAATTTGAAAAGATTCACTCAAAACAATGAATTGACGGTCATATATCAACAAAGGAGTCTGGAGGATAGGGTGGTCTTAATGGAAAAAACATTGGTGAGAAACTGGATGGGATAGACAGCTCAGTTATGCTTACTAAGGATCAACTTGAAAAGGTGAAATATGTGGAAGAAGGCAACTCTGAAACTCTCAAGGACTTGTCTTCCAATTCTGTGGAAGATCTATCTCGTGTCTGGTACTACACGGTTCCACTCTGCAAGAACTCTGAATCATTCTCTTGAAGCTATTTACCTTACATAGTTTCTTTAAAAATAACAAAAGGGTTTTATAGTTTGGTTCGATTAGTGTGTTTTATCTTTGTATTAATTTCTATTATAGGTTTATATATCCTTTTCCCAATCGTTTATGAAGTTTTATTTCCAACTCAATTTCAATCTAAAATAGATAAAAATTATAATTTTGATCATTTATTGCTTTTCCAAACAAGAATTTCAAGTCTTCCGAAGCTGCATTCTCAAGAATTTTGAGCTTCTTCCCAAGAAAGTGATGGAAATGCATGCTAAATCTCAAACCACCATACTAAGCCACCTCACAACCCACAAGCAGCCTCAATTTATGGATCACTTCATACACAAGCCCATACACCTAGCCAACCCTCAAGTGATCCATCTACTTCAACTTCCAATCAAGTAGCTACCATGCCCAAATCCTTCATGCCAAATACAAAAGACTTTGCAACAACAACTCAATTTACTGAATTGAAGGCGAAGGAGGATCTAGTTGATCTAAGGTACATGACCACTCTAATCAGAAAAGATCTCCAAAATCAAAACTGCAAAGAGCAAGCTAAATCTTCTAAAAAGAGGCATGATGATTAGAATGATTCTGATGATCATGAGAGTGAGAGGACCAAGAAGATAAGGTTGGATGTGTCTTCTGAGATGGGTAAAAAGGCTAAGACAGAGAAATCAGATCAACCAACTCAAGAAATAAGGGGAAACTCACTTGAAGAGACAGAACCTACGAATGAAGGTGGATCAAATGAAGAAATTGCACAGGGTAGTGGGATTGAGATATAAAAGCAAATTAATGAAGACATGGAGACAAATGTAAATAAAGAAAACATTTCTAGTTCTTATGGGGTGTTTAAAAATCCAAATGACGAACAAGAAGACAAGCATGAATAAGTTTTCAGAAACTCATGTCTTGACATCATCATTTTTTCACCACTCTTTCTAAATTCACAGAATAACCAAGCAGAACCAATTCTTGAACAGCTAGATACAGCAGAATCTGAATCTAATGAAGAAATAGGGCTAGATGATGAAATAGAAATGGTTAAATAAGATGGTTTAGTTGTCAGCTTTGAAAATCACAGGCACATGTTCCTAATGGACCAAGAAGAAAATATCTTATTAGCATATGAAATCA